CCAGGGGGCGTGGAGGCCCGGGGGCGGCGAAAAGGGCTGCCCTGGGTCCGCCTCTTCATTGATGAACTTTAAGTTCGGTGGTTTTTGCCTTTTCCGGAGCCTCCGGTCGAGCCCCGTTGGCGTCGGGATCGCCGAGGAGCCGGGGCTGCCCTCCCGAGCCGAGTCGGTCCCGCCAAGTTTCCGTCTTCTGGATTTTTCTTTTAAAAGACCAGTTTTGAGCGTTTTGTGCGGATTCTTCCTTAAGGAGCCCAACAGCGGGGGAGAAAGAACGCGTCGGTTGTTGCTGGGAAGGGAGAGAGACCCTCCTAATAACGCAGCTCCTAGAAATCGAAACTTGTAAGCCAGGTTTACTTTAATCAGACCCCAAAATGTCGAGATTTGTACCAGGTAAGACATTTTGCTTCAGTCTTGCCTGCTTCGTCCGGATTTGGGTACCCCTAGTCTCTAGGCTGGTGGATAGTTTGGACTTGGAAACGTTCACTTGTGGTACCGTTTGCCAAACCTTTTTGGTTAAACTGATACTTGATCTTCGCATCGCTCGCTGAGTTGGCATTTCATATACGTATATTTATGCCTCTTCGCCCTGCAGGGTTAGTTCTGCCCTCCTAAAGTCTGGTTTAGTAGTATTCTGACTTCGCAGATAGTGAGCGTAATAATTAAAGCAGGATTTTGACTGCTGATTAATTCCTGTTCCCTTCTTGTGGTCGATGGTAAGTTATCTTTGTGGAGAAGGAAACCCAGAGGGCTAGGAGTAGGCAGAAGGGTTTGCCAAGACTTCTGAGGAAGCTGTACCGTTCTCCACTTGTACGCTGTGTGTACGTGGATTGAGTCGCAGAGTCACTCATTGCGAAATCAGGAGTTCGTAGACACTGGAGGTCATTCCAGTCAGAGAAATGACTTTGCTGCAGTGCTGTTTGCTTTTGCTTTTCTTTCTTTTCTTTTTTGAAGTGTGAGTAGGTTAGGGTTTCTTTACACTTGAAAATTACCATCTAAATTCTGCGTCTGTGTGAAGAGAGGGTTTAGCAAACAACCCCCAGCTAAGCCTGTGTAAGTGTGTGCCGTACACATTTGCAATTGGTGCTGCCTTAAACTTCTGTCACTAACTATAGGATTTGCCTTCCAGATCACAGTGTGTGATAGCTTCAGCCATCTTGCTTAACGCAGCTAGCAGAGTTTGCCGTCAGTTCACGTGGGTCCTAGTAGCGGTAGATGGGCTTTTTTCGTTTTTAAAGTAGTGGTGGTGGTGTCCAGCATTTGACCGGTCGCGTCAGTACTGTAAAACCAGTGTTTTGTAAGTTGCGCTAGAGAAAAGCAAACAAGTCACCTCTCCTAGGATTTCAAGAGTATTGAAAATCAAGATATTTCATGTCATTAGTATTTCCAGAGTAGTTTACAGAGTCGATGCACATTTATGGCTTTTGCTGTTGAGATGATCTTCAGATTTCTAAATCAAGTATACCCAAGTGGCTGCGGACATCTGTCATTTTACTTTGTTATCCTCTTTTTAAAAGCCTGTTATTTTGAAATATGTCTACATTTACAAACTGTTGCACATATGTTAAAATTAAGAAATTAACATAGTTGTATTAACTAAACTGTAAACTCAGTTCTGACTCCAGTTCCCGTAATGCAGTCCAGGACGACGCCACATCTGATTTATTTGCTAGTCACTTTTACTTGGAATAGTAGTTTTCCTTTTAAACAGGCTGTTTTGCACCAAAAGACGACACTCTGCAAATGTTGTTAATCATGCTGTTTATTATTGCTTCATTTTTGTACTTGAGCCCTCTGTGTGCTTGCCGTGGCTACTGTTAGAAATGATAAAACTAATGGGCTAATGTCAGAGTTGTGTACACACTTCAACTTTCAAGTTTAAGAGAGGTTATGTGTCTCTCTCTTTTAAAATGAAGTCCCAGTTCTTTAAACCCGCCCCTACTCTCCCCCAGAAGTTCCTGCTCCTTCCTTCCACTCTGCTGCTCTGCATATTATGTCTCATAAGGGAAGGGTTAACAAATGCTCGGTCTCAGGCATCTCCTATGTTGTCTCATTTAAGCCCCTGGGCCTGAAGAGGTGCCATGCAGTGGATGAGAGTTGTATCTTGTCCAGAGAGGAGCTGGTGAGAAGCCCTGAAATTCATGAGCTGTTTGCAGCTCCTGACCTTTCCAACAGTTTTTGTTGATTAAAAATTTTAGGAATGGCCTATTCTTCAAATAGACTACCATTATACAATGTCTTCAAAGTAGATATTAAAAAAGTTTTTTGTCACAGGTAGCAGATGCCCACAAGCTAAAATGTCCTATATACTTTTGTAGTAGGCTAGCTTTCCCTGTGGTTTTGGCTGTAGTCTTTTGTGACATATCTCAAGTTACAGAAATACTGAGAAAGGTGAAAGGGCTTGGACTTAGGTATAACTTCTGTTACTAAAAAGTGATTTTCAACACTTTTCTGACCCTTAGGTTCTACCTTCATAAGGTTTGGATGCTTAGTCTGGGTGAGGCAGCGGATCCCGCCTCATCCACTGGGAGTTATGCTGCGGGGTTGTTGAAGTAGGTGCTGTATTAGGTGAGCAAGCTAGGTAACCCTGTGTGGACAGGAACTTTTTTGTAAAATGATGGCTTTTCAGGTGGCATTGGTACTCAACATGCCATCAACACAAATACAGATAGGCAGTTCTTAATTTCCATCTTCCAGATGTAATATTCAGGTCTGATTACTTGGAAGTTGATAGTATTAAAAGAAAAATATTAAAACCTGATGGCTGAAAGGGAGGAGAGAGCAAGGCAGGGCAGGATAAAGCTTGGATAGTATAGGGGGTAAATACAAGTTACATTTTTAAAGTTCAGTTAACAACAGTTTTTCTCTTGAATGCTCATTGTATATATTGTACTATCTTGATTTTCCCTTACAGTAGACTCAGGGTTCTGTAGATGTGGTGCTACGAACCACGCATTGAGACACATTCTTTTGGGGTTATAAAGAACATAGGGTTGCTGCTACACTTGGCTTGCCCCCAAATCCAAGCACTGCTTTTATAGGAACGCTGAGTATCTTCTTCCTCAGCCATGTGGACCATAAGTTAGTTGGAAATTTTCAGTTAATTCTTTGCATATATCCCCAAGTCTGTCCTTCAGGAGCCTAGTGATACTTTCTTACAGGAAGCTGTGAGCAGGAGCTGCTGTATTTTTTTTTTTTTTTTTTTGCCTACCTCTGAAGTTGCCTAGCTCTGCCCTTTCTCTGCTGCTGGGATTATTGCAGAGCCGCTACTTCTCTAAATGAGGGAACACTACGTCTTTCCTGCCTGTCATATTTGGAAGTAGTACCTATCATCAGTTGTGGGGTTTTGCTAGGTGTGTCAGCAGATGCCATTTGGAATTTTCCTTCTAAAAAGTTGTGAGAACTGTCTAAATGTTTGGAAACTTATAATTTTGAATCAGTTTTTTAAACTTACAAATGTGAAGAGACTGATGCTGTCTAGCAAGCCAGCTAAGGCTAGGTTATATGCTTAGTACTGACATGCTAGAAGTATTTTCACAACTTCGAATATGCCATTATCTATCTAAGCTGTGTAAAAATGTCCTTTATTCTTAAAAATTATACAGTAGATATCTAATATATAATACTGCATTTCAGGGAAAACTATATAAATATGTTTGCATTGCTTAAAAAAATATTTATGGCCTGTCAACTTTCCCATCTGTTGAAAGTTTTTGACTCTTGGTAATTCCCATTTGGTGGATGGCAGCTGGTCAGCAAAGATTACTGAGCTAATTATAACTGAAAGGGTCTCAGATGAGATGGGTTCTGGGGCGTGCTTGCCAAAGCCAAGCTTTGGATTGGTTCTTCTCAAACCCTGAAACCTGTTGCTTGTTGAAATGACTAAGATTTTCTTACCCAGGAGGATTGTGGAATGGGTTTAAGTCAGGAGTAGTGACAACAAAGTAATGACTAAAGCACATTCCTTAAATGTAGACATTAGAGTTTATTAAGTTCCTAGAGGGTTGGGTTTGTAAAGTTTGTTCAATTCAGTCATAGTTGTAAATATTTAGGAAAAAATAAGAATTGGTCTAAAAAAGTTTGACTGTCTTTTATCTCTGCAGTTAAATTTCCCTTACTGAGCCTTTCTTCTAGGTGAGATTGATGATTTTCATTCATGAAGGATTCCTGAGGGAAAAAAATTGACAAAGAATATTAGAGGTGTAAATATTAATGGGTACTTCTTGGGAACACTATTTTAAAATTCTGAAGATACATTGAAAAGTTTCTGTAATAAAGTTTTTCTTAAAGCAGCACTTCACAGAAACCATTGTAGGTATGCATGTGCTTGTTTCTTCAGAGATGAGTTGTAGCCAACTTAACGTAATGAGAGAACTTGTGACAGGAATATAATTTGGTCTGGTAATAAAAATGTTTTATAGAAAAGAACAATCTACCATAGGTTTCCTCTTTCTGCCAAGCTTTATTTGCTGCTTTCTGTACAAGTGCAACCATTTTGAGCTCTCAGAAGCCCGGAAGGTTAATACAAATAAATATTTGGAAGTTAACCTCTCTTACTGATGAAAATGAATAAAAGATGTATTAACTTTCTGTAATGCTGTTCATCCCAATATTATTAGTACAGCAGAGAGAATGGTGGTTTCACCTCTGCATTTGTAGTGTTGGAGTAAGTCCGGCCATGTTAGACTGTTGGTGTGGAGGTATTCAGATTTACAATGAATGAAGGGCGGCTGATTTAAGCCTGAGTGTGGGAGTCTTTAGAGACTGGAGGCCTTCTAAAGACTGTGGCCCTTTTAAAACAACCTGTAGTTTCTTTTCTAAAATATTCAATGTGGAGAAACAGTGTGTGAATTGTGAGCATTTTGGTCTTTAGATTGTTCCAAACGTAGTTACTATCGATTGAAACAGTATTTCTTAGATCTCTAAAATTCTATAAGACATGGATTTTTCTATTAATAACTCAATAGATTATTTGGAAGTTGGCTTATTAAATCGTCACAAGAAATTAAACTTTGTGGTTTTTGATGGAGCAGCTTTTGTGTAAAACTGTAATAATGTTGCATTTGAACCCTGTTTCCCAGTTCTCTTGATTGGTGATGCAGGCATCTCCTTTCTTTTGATGTGAAGTAACTGTGCAGGGCTCCAGTTCTGCCGCTGCCAGTAGTTGCCATTGTTTATTTTCCCCAGTCATGGCCAAAAGAAATTGGTTGCGCCCCCCAATCATTTTGACAATGAAGGATTGTTTTGGAGAACCACAGAGAAACAAGCTATGTTGTCTTACTCAGCTTAAACAACAAAATATTTTCTTTTTCCCCAACGGTTCCTAGATATTTTTAGTTTTTCTTATGTAAGTTTCCTATCCCTTTGTGAGTTAGCTTGTATCTTCTAAAACA